GGCTAATTTTACTTTACACCATGTTTACTTCACTCTTGCACAGTTGTTTGCATTTGATAGTACTACTAGGTCTAAAAATTTTTGACAGAAAGAGAAAACAATGCTTTGCTGCATTGCAGTGGATTGCAACAATAGTTATGAAAAAGGGAAAGTTCACTTCCTGGACAGGAAGTTGTTGCCACTAGCAGTTTGGTGTTTGTACTAGTGGGAGTCAGCAACCAATAAAAACAAACTGTTGCTTTACTATTTAACAGGTGAAGGAAGTGATGAAGCTATTATTAAAGAAACGATAATTAGAGTCATTTCAGAAGTAGAAAGTATTGGCCTAAGAATAATTGCTGTTGCCACTGATATGGCAAATTCAAACAGATCATTATGGAAACATTTTAGCATAGTGTTTGGAAGACAAAGACATAAGGTGAATAAAGTAACCCATTCATATGATACAAACATTTTTGTGTTTTTTTATACTTTCTTTCAGATGCATGTTAAATCATAATAACTTAAGATCATTTATTGTAAGCAGACAATAAATTGTGATTCCATCTTGGGCAGTTGAAAAACTTGTCACATATGAAAAACACACATCTAAATGATGCTATGCCAATTGAGAAAGTGAGAATTGAGCAGGAAAATCAGAGGAATCTAGCTAGCTATGCCAATATAGCTGTTGCAATACTATTGGTGGAGGATGGTCACATGCTATATACATGTTCAAAAGTGGCACGAAATTTGTGGCTGAGCATTAAACTTTTTTAGCAATGCTTAGGGGGCAGAAAGAAGATCAAGATAGCTTTGTGTTTGAAAAAGTAAGTCACTATTAAAGAAACATTTTCAGTGTAAGAAAATGTTAACGTAGGTAAAAAATGTTCTTGAAAATCGGTGTAAACAGGAGTTATCTCAGTAACTTCATCCATTTTAGACATACAAGCTGAATTGCTTCAGCATAGATGCACGTTTTTTCTCTCTCTTCATGTTTTACCCAAGATAGGTTAGATAATCTTTTCTCATATGTCCAATCAAACATCAAAACTACAGTGCCAACACCATTATAATTCAAAAATAGGTTAAAGTTATCAGTACCTATAAACTTCTTAACAAGTTATCAAGAAAATGAAAGCATCTTTTTAGCAGGTTTACTTCACTTGCATAAACATTAAGTTGGTAACCAAATTTCAGTCAATAATGTCAAAATACCTGCTGTTCCTTCAGTAGGTGTAATAAGTGACACTGAAAGTACAATTCTGTTCTACATGTTATAGCTCAAGTCAAAAATCAAGATAAATGCTGTGAAGTTTGTTTAGCAAAAATAAATGCATCCCAAAATGAAGCCACCAGTGGTGTACATAAGCTGGTTAGTTTGAGAGTTTACATAAATGAGTTTGTAATATACTTTTGTGACACTTTTAATTTGTTTCTCAAAGCTGAAAAAAAATTTTTAGAATATTTTGTTATTAAAACACCAGGATCAAAATTACCTATAATAGACAATGTTGGAAAAGGAACTTTTGATATTGATCTTCCAATGTACCATGACATAGAAAAAAAGAGACTTATGACAGAAAAACAAAATAGGCTTGGCAGCAGAAGTATTGATATGGAACTTGCAGTGAATAGCAAGTTATTTTTTTATGAGAAAGACAAAATGTTAACAGTTCTATAAAGTTCTGTATTATTATACTTTTTGTCAGTTTTGATGTATCAGATAGGGAAATAAGATATTAATTAGAGATATTTATAATATTTGGTTGTTTTTTAACTATTTTGGAAAATGAACTTAAATGTGCTGTGAACAGCACATGAATGATGAACATGATCATTGAAACATTTTAATACATATGCTTGTATTTGTCTTTATTTGGTTTGTAAGTCACCATTTATAAATAACAGTTTTGAAATACTGTTGTATACTAGAATACCATAATTATTATAATTTATGACATTAATTATTTCATTTCTTTGGAAGACATAAGATGAATGTTGAGTAAAAGAACAATTTTTAATTAGGTTTTGTATTAGTAAGCCATTTGAAATATTTGGGAATGTTTAAATATATCTTATATGTGTATATATATACATAGATGTATGTGAAGAGTTTTCCTTGTATTCAAAACCAACTTATGTGGTATTCTAGTCATAAACTAGTAACCATACAAAAGATACAAATCATATATAAATAAATTCTGGCACTCAAAAGCAAAAACTTAACTCTTATTTTCATAATAGAAATTCATAAAGTAAATTTTGTGAGAATAGTAAAATACTCTTAAATAGAAAACATTTCTTAAACGTAAAACATAATATCATATCATACACAGAATACATTAACACATATCAGTAATATGTAAGAAAGGAGTAAACCTGGGGGTCGAAAGTCAGTATGCCATACTTTGGTTAGATGTATTAAGGAGCAACTGTTATGCCCACAACTGATCAGGGACAATGAATGTATAGTTGGACTCAAGACATTATGGGTTTAAGCACCTGGATCCTAGCTCTTTATTGTGATTGGATGAATAACTGGAGAGAGGATACCTCAGTGCCATTTGTGAGATTCTACTACAGTTGTCCTTCCTTAAATTAAAATTGTCTTACATCTGCTACAATTTCGGATAATTTAGTTTGTTTTTTGTTATAGCTCAGTTTGTTATATCTAGATTTTATTCACTGTTTTGTGATGTTCATATTTAATGTGTAATACATATTTATGTTATATATATATATATAAAACAAAGAAGCTTTTTAAAGAGTAAAAGTATACAAAATTATATAGCATCAGTATTAGAATCTTATAAAACAAAGAACTCCCTAAGGAAGAATTGAAGTCACAAAACAAAGTGTGCACCTAGGAAAAATAAGTTTATATAAATATTGTCAGCAGGAGAAGAAATGTATAAAGCAGAGTATCCATCCAGTAGGAATAGAAATTTACAACAAAATCCCTCAGAGTATAAAACTTTATAAAACACAATATCCCACAGGAAGAATGGAAGTCTATAAGACAAAGAACCCTTCAGAAACAGGAAAAGTAAAAAAAAATAACCTCTTCAGTTAGCATGTAATTATATAAAGAAAAATCTATTCAGTTATAATAGCAGTATATAAAACAGAGAAGAAACAAGTCTGTAAAAGCTAACTGTGCATATGAGGAAATATAAAGATAACTTCAAAAGAAAGTATTCAAATAGATTTAGATAAGTTAGATTAACAAGAAAAACAAAAAGACAATTTCATGGTCTAAATGCTTGAAGCTGTGAAAGCATTCGATATCAATAAGCCTAAAATTTGTAATAAGAATCACACCTCTTAATTTTAAATCTGCAATAGGCAAACTAAGAGGAATGTGGAAATAAAAACTGCAATTAACATGAGTCGTTTTGCACATTTTAAGGCAATTTTAGGTCATTAGTTAAAATTAACCAAATATTATTGTGTCAACAATCACTGGATCTTATGTGATTCATTCTTTGATGGTTGAAGTATTGTTGGTTAACAGTAAATATTGGATCCTGTGTTGTGTATTTCTCTGATATTCTTGTATTTTTCAGTAGCTGAAAAACACTAAATCTACACATAGATCTAAAATGAGCCTTTAGTTCTTCAGGTGAAATGATGTAAATTGTTAACTTTGTTCATGCTTTACTTAATATATAGAATTATAAAAACATTATAAACACTAAACCACCAATTTACAGTGGTTGATACAGTTTTTATTTTCAGTCTTTTACATTTATATATGCTTTTCTCATTCTTGCTGTTTTTATATACATCAATGAATTCAAGGGAGAACCAGGATTAAATGGCACAGATGGAGTTCCAGGTTCAGCAGGCCTTACAGGGCCACCTGTAAGTGATTTTAGCATGAACTTCATTATAATTAGGGATACTTTTGTTATGTTGTTTAATTTCCAGCCACAGATGTCTGCTTTTTTTGTAGTTGGTTTTAATAACCTAAATGCTTTTAGTAGCTGTTGTTGAAACTCAAATCTTCATGTACCCTTGGAATGTAAAATTAAAATTTTCATAAACGTTTTAAACTTAACAATAACAAAATGCAGATTTTGTATTATGTAAACTAGTTGAAGCATCATCGGTTCAATTTTATTCCCCTAGTGAAAAGTAGCGATGATTATGGATCAATTACCCAGTTTTGGATTTTTCATTTGTTTGTAGGAAATGGTATTTTCTTGTTTATGCGTGTTTTATATATTTTGATTTCAAGTACTTTATTCTCAGTTTTAGACATAATGAATTGGCTAAATTGTGTAAATGTAAATGCATAAAATATATAGCTGGGCAGCTGAACATGTTTTTAATTTATCTGTTGTAAGTTCAGCTTAAGTTGTGGTTTTGTTTTCTTTCATCAATATACATATCTTAAACCAGTGTTTATGGAAATTTTTGTTGACATACTGTACATTGTAACACTGAATGTTTTTATTTACCGAATTTTATGATGTAAAACTTATTTCATATACTGACAGAATTGTCTTATTAAGTTTATATATGTATCTAATACTTTCAGTGGAAGGTTTGGTATTGTATCAGTATCCATCTGTTAGTCTTTTATTTATTTCCTAAAACCAGGCCATTAATTTCCATTCCATTTTAATATTATCAGCTTTCTAACCTTTTCTTAAATAATATGTATTTGATTAATGTATATAATCAATATTAGTTATACTACTTAGTAAGTTTATGTTTTTATAAATTAATAATTTAAAAAGTAAGCACTTTTTATTGTATTTTACTCAAAACATCTTAAGAGCAAATAAAAAAGGAATGAGCTTATAATTTGAGGACAAGTGGAAAATCCAAATTCTGCTGGTTTCAGAGCTGCACTTACGAGGCTTACAAATGTTTGGAACTGCTGCACATCTTCAGCTCTGTTAATTCTACTATACATACCTAAGTGAATATATAATTATAACAGTATTTTAGTTTACAACTTAAATAGCAGACTATGTATGTAAAACTGGCTTTAAGATGTGATCTCTATTTGTATGAAAAACTGTGCTTTCTTTTCTATAAATGTTCTGTTTGTCACTGGATGACGACATCACACTCACCTAAGGTGTGGTAAAATACACACACACTCTGTTTTGTGTCCTTAAATGCACATGATCTTTCACACATATCTGTAGCCACCTTGTGGTGGATCCTTTATAGTCTTGTTTATAATAAACAGCATTTGTTGGCTTTAGGGCTAAACTTTTCTTTTTATATCTGAAATGCTTCTGCAGACCACATCATGGAATAAAAATGCATTTTAATTTTGTGTATATATACATTTTGTGACGAATTTATGCAACAATATTTTTACAAACAAAGTGAACTATTTACCAATATAATGCAAAAGTTTGGATAATAGAAACTTTGTATCTTGAGAGTTTTATGAAAATTTGTTTGTTTCACTCATAATGGATTATCCTATCTACTTAATAAGTAGGGAAACCTTTCTTATATAAGTATTAATTATTTGATGTTGCCAAATTCTTCAAAATTCATAACTGCTTGAGATCTATCTGCATGATGAATTAAGATCTTAATTAAGTTTTCCTTAAGCAATGATGGTATATAACAAAATTAAAATGTTAGCCAGTAAAAGTATTTTTTTTAATGGTAAACTTCATATTTCAAGTTCAATGTAAGTAAAAAAAAGCAAACGTTTGATATTGAAGATGTTATAAAGTAAATCAAATAGTATCATGTTTCTATTTAAATACCCCAGGAATTTGTGTAGATATTATTGGGAAGGTAAAAGTGTTGTTTATGTTATTCCTATAATAAAATGGTTTAAAAATCTACAACCATTCTTCCAGTCATTGTCTTTAATGAAAATAAAGAAAAAAATTGATTAAGGAGAGAACTAATATGGAGCTCTTAGGCATGCCATCAATCTGGTCTTGAAGTTTACTGATGGAAAAAACAATAGAGGAGGTTCTTTTGTAGCAAAATTTATTAATTTGAAAAACTTGAAACATGCAGTTCATTTAGATTGTAATTATTATAGATTAATTTCGTACTTAACTGAATTGAAATACTAACACTGATAAACCTTAGTAGAAATAATAATATTGTCATAATTAAATCAGGTAAAAAAACAGGATTGTTATATTGAATAAAGTGAATTATTTGAGTAAAGTAGACAATTTTTTTGAATGACTCAATTAAATTTGTTAAACTCAATCAAAGTTGAATTAGTACTAGAAATACAAATTGCAAAGATATTCATTAAAATTGAAGAAATATAACTTATGAACTCGGACACAACATTGAGAAACCAGACTACTAAGAAGTCATCCAGAGATTTTTTATGGGCTGTCTGAAGTGCTTAAGGAACAATGTCCATGAAGACTTATAGTTTAAAATATTTGAACATGCAAGGATTATACTAATTATTAATACAATTTTAAGGAAAGTTTGAAGTTTATAATGGAATTTAAAAGCTAAGTTTGATAGTAAAGCTTACCTTGGTATTTTTTTGTAGTAAATATATGTATTAATATTCCTTGAAAGAAACAATACAGTTAAGGGCTGAATTAAGCTCTAATAATAATATAAATGAGTTGCATGTTCTAAGTGTTTTTGATTAATGAATTTTGCTATTAAAAAAACGAAATTTTTGTTCAATGGTGATCTTTATGACTTTATTGATGGCTGGTGGGGCTTTAGGCTTCAGGTGAATTCCCTAAATAGCCACTCTTTTTTTACAATAGACAGACATTAAAAACGTCTGCTGACTTTTAGATCATGATTGTATAGAAGGTATGTAAATGACACCTGTTTATCAACTCCTGGAGTATAGTATGCATAATAGTATTTGATTTATTATAAAACAACAACAAAGTCACAAGATTCCTTTCTGTGATACATTGGTTCTATAATATAATAACTTCAAGTGTGAAGTTTACCAATAAAACTTTTTTACTAGGTTATATTTTAAGTTCTCAAGTTTTATTATACAAGTATATGGTTTAAGGAAAGTTTCATTACAAATTTTATTCATCATGCATATGAGATTTCAAACACTAATGATCTACATAAAGAATTCCACACTTTAAGAGATACACTCATGTAAGAATGGTTTTTCCTACCTACTTGGTAAATAGAATAGTCCAGAACTAGATGAACTTCTTAAAGCTATCAGAATAAGAAGCTTTTAAGTATGCAGTATTTAAGTTTTTCTCTTTTTTTGGTAAACATGCTTTGTATGTCAAAACATAGCTGCACACCCTTCTTCATAGAGCACACACACACACACACATACAATTTAGATGAATGTTTAAGCCAGAATGTCATCTCCAGAATTACTTGAGATATAAATATAGAATTTCACTACTGAAGACACCAAATGGTGTTTATTAATTTACGTATCCTTTGTGCAAATGAGGTTACATCAGATCTACCATGAGATGGTTGCAAATGCATGTACAAGAACATGCAAATTTTAGAACACCTAATAGATTGAGCATACTATGGGTGAGTGTGACATAGTGATCCATTCAAATTGTGTTAAAACTTAACTAAGGCCAATGACAAACCAACCCTTCATATGAAATAAAGCATACATATTTATATATGCACGGATCACATATTAACAAAATTCAGTATATATATATAATTTGCTATTTAAGGTTATAAACTAAAATATTTTTAGAATTATTTATTTACTTGGGTACAGTCTTTTTATGCAAGTGGATATCACTCTGTGATAAAACTGCATATTTTTCCAGAAAGCAAGAAAATAGAGATATGTAAATAACAAATTTTCCTTGGATATATTTTGCATTAAAAAAAAAAGTTTTAAGACGTACTGAATTTGTGTTTGTAAATAGACTCTGCTAATGAAAGTTACAAACTGTTTTTTTTTTTTTTACATTTTGAGTGTATTGTTCCATGTAATGCAAAACTATTACAACTACTTTTTTAGGGAATAATAAACTTTAAAATTTTAGGGGTTCCATTTGGTTTAGCATGCTAGAGATAATATTTTCAATAATACAGTAAATAATTTCATTACATTTCAAAAATTATTTAGTTTTTTACTTATTTCTTCATATTGTAAGGTTTCATTATTAACAATCCTGTAAATATATTATTTGTTAAAACTTCCACCAGGCTAAATGTAATACTTGTAACACATGTAGTACTCTTCTTTGTTTATGATTGGACACAATAAAAAAATTCCCTAAAATTAAATATTAAATTTCTCTAGAAAAATGTAAATATGGTGAAATTCTATTCACTAAGAAAACTTCACATTTGTAGGATTATATATGTATATTTGAAATATCTTGTAATAATTTATATTGATTATTAAAATGTAAAAAAACATAAATGATATTTTCTATTTCACATGTATGGTTTAGAAATGTTAAAGAATGTGAATTACAATATATCAAGTTTCATTTCAAAATTTTACCTAGCATTTTCAAAGTCAGCTTAAAATGTTTTTGAGAAATAAAGTTTAGAGGCAGGATATATTTTAAAACGAAACTGCAAGTGTTAATTTTTGTAGATAAGGTTAAAGATATATCATGAAACATCCACAAAAAAATACTAATTTTATTCATTAATAGGGAGTTAAAGGAGAAAAAGGAGATCATGGATTAACAGCAATGTTAGATGGAATTTCCTATCCAGGAAGAGTAGAGAGCCCTCCAGGCCCTCCTGGGCCACCAGGTCCTCCAGGCCCTTCTGGACCACCTGGTCCTCCAGGAAGAAAGGTATGTATTTCTATATAGGCCCAATAATTCAGACTGGCATGAATCATTTTTTACTACATGGTTTGGAATGTGTTATTCTTTAGTTCTATGATTTTAATTCTTTATTTTTTAATGTTATTTAAGCATGCTCTTTCTTTATACAAATTCACAGTAGTCTTATTAAAAAGTCAAATAAACACACAAGCACACACAATTATGAAACCAACTTAAGGTTATTATGTTAAAAATATATGTATGACAACTGTTTTTAAAGAGCTCCTGCTTTAGTCAATGAATATAAGGAACACATCTAGAGTGTCTGTAGTCAGTGGTTGAAAGGAGTGAATATGTTTTGATTAGTATCTGTAATGAGCAGACCTGTTTTGGTCAGTGTATGTGAAGACTGGTTCTGGTATGGTAGAAGTCTGTAAGGGTTATGTAAGAGTTGACCACTATCTGTGTTAGTAGATCTGGTTTAATCAGTGGGTTGGTTATTTTAACTGAATCTGCTTCAAACAGTGTTGGTAAACTGCTTTTCTACTTTGCCCAGTTGCTATAATGATTACACCTATTCTTGTCATATTTTATTGTAAATTGTGATTTTGTTAGGGGTTGTAAAGTATGAATCTACTCAGTGACTCTAGGCAATGATCTGCTTTGTTCAGGAACTAAAGTATGAATCTACTCAGTGACTGTAGGAAGTGATCTGCTTTGTTCAGTGACTAAAGTATGAATCTACTCAGTGACTGTAGGAAGTGATCTGCTTTGTTCAGTGACTAAAGTATGAATCTACTACTCCCCTGCTTTTTACATGCTTTCCATTGCATTGTGCAAAATTTTTCTACAGTGGATATTGCACTATACAGGAATAACCCATAACAATGACCATCACACAGAATGCCATTGGTGATCGAAGCAGAAACTATATGGCCTAGGCTCTCAGCCTTGTATTGTTACCATAGATCATGGGCAACCCTCTGTACACCTTAACATGAACTCATCCCTTTGAAAGGTTCTTCAGAGCATATTATACTTGCAAGACAATAAAAAATTTAAAAAAAGATTCACTTGTTATAGTCACTGTCTAAAGCAGATCCACCCTGTAACAAACAGAACTGCACTTTGCAAATATGGAATGAAGATCACTTCCTACAGTCACTGAGTAGATTCATACTTTAGTCACTGAACAAAGCAGATCACTTCCTACAGTCACTGAGTAGATTCATACTTTACAGTCACTGAACAAAGCAGATCACTTCCTACAGTCACTGAGTAGATTCATACTTTAGTCACTGAACAAAGCAGATCACTTCCTACAGTCACTGAGTAGATTCATACTTTAGTCACTGAACAAAGCAGATCATTGCCTACAGTCACTGAGTAGATTCATACTTTAGTCCCTGAACAAAGCAGATCACTTCCTACAGTCACTGAGTAGACTCATACTTTAGTCACTGAACAAAGCAGATCAATTCCTACAGTCACCATCATACCATTAGCAAACATCTCCCATGGACTTTTGTGCTTTTGGATTACTTAAACTAGCTCTCAGAATTCGTTATAAGTGCATGGTTGATGTACTTTGAAGTCAATGTTATCCACACTCCCTTGCTTTTTACATGCTTTCCATTGCATTGTGCAAAATTTTTCTACAGTGAACATTGCACTATACAGGAATAACCCATAACAATGACCATACTTTGAAGTCAATGTTATCCCCTTATGAATTCCTGGTTGTCCTTGCAGAAAGAATGGTATGTTTATTTGAACATGTGGCAGGATGTCTTTTTTGATAAACCCTTACTTTCATGGCATCCAATCTGCTCATAGATGGTATTTTCTCATGGGTAACATTAGCAGAGATTACCAAGATACCTTCCTCAACTTTTCAAGAGTTTATATTACCATTATAGTTGTCACCATAAAACCATTGGGAAACCTTTCATGTTATTTTTTGCACCATTTTGAAAGTTTTTATCACTAGTAGTATGATAATAAATTACTCAGACTTTTGCAAACACTTAGCCATGTGCTTTGTACAATGTGATAATATATTTCCCTCTGTCATATGTAAGATATTGCTTGTACAACTTTCAACAGTTGTTCTTCTGTTTGATTATATGCACAGAAAAAATTAAGCTTGTGAGCATGGCTAGGGCTGGCAAGTGCTTTCATATGCTCCAGGGAAGGATTGGTATGTGGGACACCACCACCCCTCTCAATCAATTTCCCTGTCCCTCCCAAACAGTGGAAGGGTAAGCCAGCATACACAGTACTTACACCAGCTTTTGAGTATACTTATCAGGCAATTGGGTAACAAACAACACTGATAATCAAATAAAATGGCAGCTTCAATGGTTAGGACAATAAATGCAATTCTATAAATAAAGCACAACAGTTTACAATATATATATATATTTCTTTACAGTAACATACCATCTTGTAATCTGTTTATAATGATGTGGCCTATTGTTTTAAAATTAAATTATGATTAGATATGTATTCATATTCTAAGGTTCTTTTGCATTATTCACAGTCAACACTGGTTATATTTATATTTTCTTTGCTGATTGAGATCACCTTCTTTTAGCTCAAATTACTTTCACCTCCAGGTATTCACATTGCTGCCTCTCTTGAATTTAAATGCAACTAGTGACTTTTAGAGTAAAGATTCCATTGATCTCTTATTAGTAACAACAAAAGAGCAGTAAAATTAGTGTCTTGCTTGATAATGTCAGGATCTGCTATTGAATCTTAAAACATAACTACAACAGAAATCATAGTAAGTCATGAGTATATTATAAAAAAGTACTGTATTTAGTGGTGCTTAAAGGAATATATAAAATATAAGAATTAAGAGCCTTTACTTAGCAGAAACAAGTTGATAGAATTTGTATGTTAAAATCTACTCCACACCCACTGAGAAAAACTTTTAATTGTAAAAGAAAGTGTGTCATCTATATTATAAACATTTTGTATAAATATTGATTCCCTAATTTTTGAAAACAGTACAATATCAATGTGCTTATGTATGTTGTATTCAGTAATTATACAGAGTGCTTAGTAATTGTAGAATGTGTCATATGACCCAAATCTAAAGAAGTAGGATACTACTACAACATAGAAAGCTGCAGTACCATCTATACACAAGTGTAGTACACTAAGTTATATTATATTACACAAGCCTACAATGTAGTGTACTACAAAATAGTGTGTTGTAGTACTTTCTATGCCAGCCCAGTAAGCAAGCAACAGTATCTTTAGTACTGGCAATTTAACTTGCAAATCTGCAGTATAGAAATAGGTGAATGCACAATACTGTGTAAACTTGCAGTATCTTTAACAAGCTTAATAAGAAAAAAATGAGGGAAAAAAACATACAGCTGATTTCCAGGTGAAAATCTATCTTTAATTAGCATTATATTTTACATAATGTTTTTAAAAGCAATAAATGCCACAATGGTGAGAGATATATAAGCATCAGGTACACTTAACCGTATTCATGAATGTTATATGAACAAACAACTATCCATGTTCCAAGACATACAATAATGAGATCAAGTCAAAATGTGTAGATGTACATAAACTTTGTTTTAACTGTTCAATTAATCTGTATGTTTTTTGCCAGTTCTGTTGCCCAGGTTAGGTCAACAGCACACACACACACACATTAAATTCATTTATTAGTTGTGTTGACTAAAAGTTCACTTTCCTGTTCTTCTTTCTGGCATAGTGATTATTTCTAGTGTCCAAGTTCACATTGCAATTTCAGTGACTTTCAATTGCCAGTATTATACTCAGAGCTGTCAGTTTGTCTTGGACAATGGAGAAACACAAATAATTTTTAATCATGTTCAACTACCTAAGTGATTGTCCCCTTTATGCAAAGGTGACTGGGATTGTTCAGAAAGTACAGTTTATGAAGAGTACCTAAATGAGGTAATGTTATTTAAAATTTGTTTTTTAAATATTTGGTATTGGTTGATCAGAATTTTTGCCTTTTCCAGGGCCATGGTGAAATTTCCATGACCTCCCCACTTTCTTGATGGGCATGAACAAAGCTAATAACTTTATTTTATTCATGTGAAATATCTTGTTAACAGTTCCCAGAAAGGTTCTTACTTTACTTGCAATTGACAGCTGTATTCTGTATTCTTTGTTTCATCTAAGATGAAACCATGGTTTCCTGACATACTTCAACACTACAGATAGTTTTCCTTTGAAACACTAAAATGTTTTGCTATGTACTCTTTTATAATCATACAATAGGAGAACTTTGTGTCAAGAAGTCCAGTAGAGGTAAGTTTTAGGAGCACTCTGCACTTGCAAATCATCACACTTTAACTGAACTGCAACAAGAAGGTCAGGGCTTTTAACATGTGTAGTCACAGACTGTGGAAATAGCCAGGGGCGAGGTGATGATTGGATATACTTATTTTTGCTATAGATCATTATGAGTCTCTGTTATCTTCATAGGTTTACTGAGTATTAATAAGTGTGTGATAAAATTCTTCAAAAGAACCAGTAGGAATGAAAGAAACAGAAATTGTACAAAGATTCTTAATTACAGTATGTGTGTGTAAAAAAAGTGTAGTGAAGCTACTTATCAATACATTATTTGGAATCTTTATGTTCATAGCTGAAAACAAACCTGGTTGCAACAAAATTACTTCATAACTGAAAAAAATACACCTATCATCTTGATCTGGTTTATCCAACTGGAGGCTTGCAAGGTAGTTCCAACCAGCTAACAGTAACCAAGAGGGAAAAATTTACAACAAATAAATAAAAATTAAGATAAAAATAAAGCCTATTTTACACTGAGACTGGGTTGATTAATGTTTGTTATCTAATATTGTATTACTCTGGTGTGTATAATCTTCAGTAAAGCCATAAGTCGTTTTTTTTCATCAGTATCTTATATCCCTTGAGCTGCACACAAAATACTATATGATCCAACAATATCACAAAGGTTAGTTAGGTTTGATCTACATTATATTTTGGTTTATCTTCATAAACAATTTGGTAGCTTCTACTAGGTTAACTAAAATATTAAATATGTAATACTGTTTAGACAGTTGCTAGGGTATCTTGGTGCTTATATAAGTCTATTTAAGAAGAACTTTCTGTAGTTTAAGAGTGAGGCTCAACAATTCTGTTGACATAAGACTTTTTTTATAAACAGAAACACATTTTTATGTATTATTATAGCAAAGAGGTTCTCTGAAATCACTTACAGACTAAAATGGTTCATTGTCATGGTGTTTCCTCTTGAGAGCCAAAACATTAAGATTGAAGATAATCACATCCTTTGTATGGTATATTTATTGATGATAACATAAATTCCTACTTGTTTAATTGAATGTCTTCTAGAATTGGAAAATAGGTTTGAATGAACTAGTGCTGCTGGTGTTTTTCAAATAATTCAAAATCACTATAAGAAACAAATCCTGATGATTAGATCTCACAAGAGCCCCCCCTCCCCCTTTGTTTTTTTAGTCAGTACTAGATAAATTAGAATGAAGGAATCTTAAACATTTTGGGCTTTTTTGTTATTCCTCACTACCCTAACATCAAGAAAGATAAGAAATAATTTTCACTTCAGCGTATATGTTTTGTTTAGAATATGGGAGACACTGAATAATCTTTTAAGGTGTGGAAGGATGAAAGTAATGAAAAATGTGCCTTATCCCTTCACAGGGTGATGATGGTCTAATGGGTCTACCTGGGGAATCAGGAGAGAAAGGTGATAAGGGTGATCGCGGCAAGCGTGGCAAGAGGGTAGGAAGTGGGATTTTTGTTTTAGAGATTTTTGTTTTCCCAGTTATTTTTTGTATATAGATTTTGTCTGGTGAGTGTATTTATAGATAGATGAAGAGATAGAGGAAAGATAAAAAAGACTGAAAGATAGCCAGATAGAATTAACTGACCAGGTTAGTTGTTCTTTTATCATAAATGTGTAACAATTCAATTATTATTTAATTGATAGACATGGCATATAGGGATAAACTGTCAAATTGATTTTAGGTGTAGAAATTTACACAAAGTATCTTTTCTACATGAAAAGTAATGCAATTTATATTGACTTATGAACCTATTTATTTTATACTGTAGGTTATGTTCATACCTTTATTTATGTTTATTTTTTTTAATATGACCTTCAGTTACCTTTATCTTTTATTATTTCATATCAATTAGATTATGCCTCTCAAACACATGTTATCAAAGTGCAAATGTAATGCATGTATATGAATGTTATACAATGCTCAAAGCTTTATGTTCTCACTACCATTAAATTATATGTATTGTGTCTCTCATATGTTTTTAGAAAATTTGATTAGAGCTGGTAAGTACTGCTTTTTATTCCATTTAACAAATACTTAGATAATTTAAAAAATATCTCATAAAAAAGATATTTAAATTCATTCCTGGTGAGCTAAGAGCTTTTTGCACATTTTAAAATTTATTGTAATTACTACTATTGCTACTAAAAAAGAGTTTAGTTCTTTTTGTCAGTTTCTTGTGAATGATCCTCCATTGGTCAGCAGTAAGTTCATATACTTACAGCGCTAAAATACTGGGTTTGATTACTCTCTGAGTCCATTGTGTAGCTTTGTGCTAAAAGAACAACAGAAACCTTTTGTGAATGTTAATACATTTTTATCGTTCTGATTTGTGTACAAGTTTCAGTTGTACACTACGAAGAATACTTGTATTTTTCATATTAATGATACTGATTTCTTTTGGAAGAATGAAATTGACAATAGATATCATGTTTTTGAGTACTTTTACAGCAGAAAACAGCAAAAATATTTTCCAGAACTAATGCAAAGGACAGAATTGTGGTAAACATATCTTCATCAAATTTGAGTGAACATCTAGCTGAATTTTATATAGTATATATTTCCTGTACGTCCTGCCATTTAATTCTAGCATTTAATGTTGTTGATTGGTTTACTGGTTTTATGAATTACTAGTAAAAGGATGCAAATCTGAGTAAAACTCTTTACATACATTTTTGTATTTGGTAATGAGAAATTAATTTTTGGAAGAATATTGTTTTTGCTAAGTTATTTTTAATTTTGCATTTTTGCATCTCAGTTTAGTCATTTTTATCTTCAGTTTCGATTTTTTTCCTTCATTTTTAGTACAAGAAAATTTTGCATTAAGATTTATAAATAATTTGTTTCAATATATACCAAACATAAGCGCAAGATAACTTGCAAGAAACCATCTCTTAATAAGTGCATTAAACTTTTCCTTGACATTTTTTTGACTACTAGATCAAGTATGTTTGTTATGGTACTGCTTGTCTCTGTATCTATAATACATATATCAATTTTATATGCTTGTTTTCTTGATTTTCATGTCTGATATTCATACATGGTTTGGAAGAAGTTTGTGAAACATAGCTCTTGAGTCACTTCTGTAGACCTAAGTTCCTACTAATGAAATGCTGTGTTCTTGAACTTCTGGTGACAAACTGTTTAATTTTCTTCACTACCTTCAGAGTAGTCTCTTTTTTTTACCTTTTATGTCTTTATATTCTTTGTTCTTTTTTCTTGTTTTGGGACAAAATAAGTCTAACATTTATCCTAAGTAGATTTACCAATAATGTCTTCCTTTATGTCCTTATCTTGTGAAATAGGGAAAGCGTGGTAGGCATGGGAAGTTTGCTGGAAGAGGGAAACCAGGTCATCCTGGCCTCAAAGGTGATGTTGGGCCTAAAGGAGAGAAAGGAACGAAAGGAGACAAGGGGCACATTGGTCTTCCTGGTAAACAGGTAAAAAAAAAAATTACGAGTTCCTTCCCAAATAAAACTAAATAATCTAAAACTAGCTTGACATTTTACATTTAGACTGTTGAATACAAACTGTTGTACAAACAGAGCCCAGGTCTAGTAGGAAAGCAATAGGGGCTAGACTGCAGATTTTAATGCCTACAAAAGTAACCGAAATAGGTCAGCAGCCATTGTACAGACACTTACTTCAATTTTCTGATCATTGAAATTCATTAATAGTGATGACTCATATCCTTTCAGACTCCATTCAGATACAAATTTAGCACAACTAAAAGCAGTTATAAATCAAAACTATGTGGGTATTACTTACAGTCTGCACTTTCATGCATTTCCACTGCACATTGTACTGAAGCAATGTTAAGAAAATATTCTATTGAAATATGTGCTTCTCAAAATAATTGAAAATATGCATGATTGGAAATATGTAATCGTAATCCAATAAAATGCTGGATGCACCATCTTATATCTTATATGATACAAGCTACTGTTTTGTAATTTTATTTCCTACAGATAATTTCACTTTCTTATAAGTATTTCAGTTTGATTCAGTTGAACTATTGCTTGCTGCTGCTAGCAAAAACAACAGGCTGAACTGTGTTTTTTCCAAGTGTAGTGTGAACCTAGCCCTTACACTTATTTCTTCCATGAAAATCCACTAATATTCAAATATTTCAGTGTTGAAACTTGAAACATTCTCTCACAAGCATTTATGAAAATATCCGGTACACTGTATCTTCAAATATTGCTTTACTGTTCAGTAATCATGGTAACTAGTTATTATTAACCTTAGAATGCCAGCATTAAATTTTCAATCATTAACACCAGGTGGTATGGGGTCACAGTGACCCCCATGCTGGTGTTCTAGGGTTAACTGTAATTTTTATTGGAGATTTTTAGCGACTTTTCTGGTAGAATGTATGACATAATTCATACCTCAAACTCTTAACACCCAGATAAAATTCTTTATTTTTATTTAACATGTTGCTTGATAGTCCTGTTCTCTATGTAATTCATTTGTGTTTTACAACACCATAAACATATATTTATTCTTACACATATACTGCCATGTACATATATATCTCAACATTATACATTATCACAAGCACTAGTAGCTAGAGTTGGACTATTGGTGGAATTTGCTTATTGGTTAATTGTCTAACTTATTAATTGATTATATTCAAGTAATTGAAAATAGCAATAATCATATACACTAATTTTGATTAGTTGATTATTTTGGTGAGTTTTGACACTAATTGGTTAAGCCAAACAACCTTAAGTTAATTGAAAATAATAATTCTTAAGCTGGATAAAGGGAATGGTGTAGTAATTTTGAACAAAAAAAGATCACATTGATAAAGTTTTAAATATTTTAAATGATAATACAAAATTTAAGAAATTGGAATTGGATCCTACAGTAACCAAAGAAAGACATTAACAGAATTATTTGTTAAAAATTAAGAAAAAATGGTTGATATTGGATGACATCTATAATGAAGTTAGACCAGTTGGTTCCCATTATGGTATATTTTATGGGTTACCTAAAATACATAAATTAAATTGTATCAAGTATAGATACTTTCACTTATAAGTTAGCAACTTTTTTGGTAACTTTTTCGAATCTCATGTAACCAACAAATTTACAGTAAAAAATAGTTTTAAATTCACCAAAGGTGTGTCTAAACTGGCTTTTGATGCACCCGTCTATATAGCCAGTTTTGACATCAAGTCTTTGTATACCAATTTTCCCTTAAATGAAGTAATTGAGTTAAATGGCAATTTAATGTTTAAAAATTCTGATGTTGTTAGGGGTATAACCAAATCTGTATTTATAAAACTATGATTTCCTACAAATATTTCATTAGCTCATGTAATTCAGAAAAGATATAATGAAGATGTGTAAAAAAAGTTAGAATTGCTGATAAACGTTATTTTAAATTACAGAAAACAAGATTGCATGTAAATTTTTTAAATGAGTGTGTAAAATATGCTTTAGTTCCAAAGTTTTTGAAACTTAAATTGGCTAATTGTAACTTAAGATCTTGTAAATATTATAGATTTTCACAGAATAAGTTTTTAAATTTAGAATTGACATATAAATTGAAATTATTTAAACAATTACAAAATAAATATACAAATGCTGTTCAAAGTTTGAAAGAAGTTGTCTCAAACTTAGATTTTATACATTTTGTTAATGTGATTGCTTATCACAAAAATAAGATTTTAAATAAAATAATGTTTAGATAAATAAAAAAACTTGCCTAAATTAAAGCATGAGAATTTTAGTGTGCCTACGTTTTTAGAAGACCCTACACAGGTCATTTATAACCTCTCAGATTACCAGTTAACTTCAGCAGAAAAAAGTTTTATCATGGGGTTTAAAGTTTTCAAATACCCCCTAAAAAATTAGATTATGTAGAATATTTTTCTAGGTTTGAACAGTTACTACAGAAATTAAAACATATACCAAGAGAGGAAAAAAATGTTTCATTTAATAATACAGTTACTGAAATCTCAGGTCTAGCACTTTCAGGGTACTACAGTTTTGACCCAAAGAAAGTTCAAATTAACTTATCTAAAGAGGAAATTTTGGCTTTAAAATATCTTGGTCCACTTGATAATTTAGTAATTCTGAAAATAATAATAACAATATTTTGATTGCTTGGATGGTTGGAGTAATCAAAACAGTAATAATTGAAAATTTATTTCTATTAGTTGAATATTTTCATGATATTAATTGACTTAATTATAATTTCTGTTAATCCATTATTTTTTGTGACACTAATAAATGCAACTGATGCTCATAGGTTATCAATTATATCATTTAATCAAATTAATTGCCAGTTCTACTAGTATCTGTAGACAGATTGCCTCTGGTAATATACATGGGCTAAATCTGCTGTCTATATCTTGAAGGCCCAGCATTGCCAGGTGGTTAGGGTGCTCAATTCACAATCTGCGGGTTCGAATCCCACCAAACATGCTTGCCCTTTCAGCCGCGGGGGTGTTAAAAAGGTGACAGTCAATCCCACTATTCATTGGTAAAAGAGTAGCCCAAGAGTTGGCAGTGAGTGGTGATGACGAGCTGCCTTCCTTCTAGTCTTACACGGCTAAATTAGGGACGGCTAGCACAGATAGCCCTTGTGTAGCTTTGCGCGAAATTCAAAACAAACAAACAAACTATATCTTGAAAGCTATGGTGCCATCTATGAGCTGTTAAACTCAACATGTTTTCTTGATATCATAATAAAATTAATCACTGGCAAAATTTAGCTGAACAAAGAACTTTCAGCTAAAATTATTTCAGCCAGAATTAATATTTATGCTGTCACTACCATATATATGTGTTAATACATGCTCATACCAGTCTAGGTTAAATATAATAATTCACAGTAAAATAAATTTACTATCCTAGACAGTATGGGCAGTTCACTTTTAAGTAATCCTGCTGCCCACACATAAAACAAATGCTTTGGTCATCTCTTTTGGACCAATATCTGGGCAGAAGCATCATTGGCATTGCTTGTGGCATAACATTATACATTATGGGAGGACCAGGGAATCTCTGCCTGTTCACTGGGAACTACTGGGGTTGGCTTTTGGGCTATCATTGGTGTAACTTGAGCCCAACATGAAGTTCTCACTCCAGTTGGGTAGATGGTTTGACCAGAGCTAAGATTGGACTAATTTTGTTGGCAAATACTTGGGAGTCATATAAAGACTGCCCCTTCCAGTCTCAGACTTGCCATACCATGCACCACGACAAGGATCCTCAGTCATCTGTGAAACTGATTGGGCATTCTGGTGCACCACATCCCAGCAATTTTTCCTGGGTCTAAGGCTGCAGGGAGAAATATTTTTGTGGACCTTAGTGGAATAGTGAAATCCAATGTCCAGGATATGTCTTCTCTTAGGCTCAATAATTCTTTCTCACAGCTGTATAACCCAGTGTTACTGTGTGATTTTTCCTCTACTGCAACCTGTTCAAGGTCATGACTTTGAACCTCATTGCCATAGAAACTGCCTCTGTTAGGGTAAGAATGTCTCACACCCAAGTGATGCCTCATTGTATCACTAGGTAGCCCCTCAATGAACGTGTGTACTAGAATGTCTTTGTGATCTGCTGATGTATAGGGTATGCCTTCTGATGCATCTGTCATAGATCATCCATGCCCATGTTTTTGGAGGGACCCCTTTTTTGAGTCTTATACTCAGTCTGATGAACAACTCAATTCTCCACTGGGTTGAAATGCAGGTGCAACTCAACTACAACTATTCCACTTCCATAGCTACACTTAGCTCAAGTGCTAAATGCAGTCAAGGGCTGCCCTATCAAAACTCAGGGTCAGGTATTGCATCATCTGTTCCCAACTCCAGCTATTCCAGGCCTGAAATGCTTTAAAAAATACTCCAAATCCTCTTCTGTTGCACCCATAAACTTTGGTGTGTAATTTGCTTTGCCTTTATTACAGCTACTTGTGATTTTGGTGTAAACCTCTCATCCATAGTCTGTCAGCCAACACCAGGTTGAGACATCCTAAGTGTCTGGTGTGTGATGGAGCAACCCTTACAGACAAGTGTTAAACTCCTGCCCTTCAATCATAAAATGACGAGTTATTGGAGGTAGTTAGCCATTGGCTCTGTTTGACCTGTGGTCACTCTGGCATTATACCTGTAATTATAGAGTTTCTCACCACTTGTACCAGTCCATAGACTTGTGAATGTCATTCACCACCATCACCTACAGCTTTTCCTTGCCAGTCACAGATGACTTTGACCAGAGCTAGGATTGGACTACTTTTGTTGGCAAATGCCTGGGAGTCATGTAAAGAATGTCCTATCCAGTCTCAAACTCACCAGATCATGCACCATTATAATGACCTCAGTCGTCTGTAAAACTGATTGGCCATTCTGGTGGACCAGGTCCCAGGTCTGAGGCTACAATGAAAAAAGATGTTGTGAACATTTGCAGCATAGAGAAATCCAATGTCCAGGAAAGTTCTTCTTTTAGACTCAATAACTTTCTGACAGCTGTCTAACCCAGGGTCTAACTCTTCCTCCCAGTCATATGTCCTTTGATTTGGAAAATGCCATTAACTAAGTATTAAGCTTCAACTCAATAATGTGACAGTTCAAAAAAGCACAGGCAAATACATTAATCCAGAGAAAACAGACACCGCAAGAACACATACTATGATAACAGCACAAACTGTTTTCTTCTTCCTACCTACTCTGTAGTATTCTCAGGTTATTAATTTGTTTTGGCATTATTTGGTAAGAACCTAAGGATAACAGGAAGTGTGCCAGAAGTTTTATTGTGGAGCAGAAGTTTTAATTCTAGTAACCTCAACTGAGTTTCATACAAAAAAAAAAAGAGTCCAGAAACATGTTGATCACAGTGAAACAATCTTTATTTCAAATATATCTACAATCAAAATTAAAAGACAAATGTATAGTGTGGTGACTTTAATGGAGGGATTTTTATGTGTGTTATATATCATGTATATCAATCTCTAAAGTCACTTTGTTTTATTTACAAATTTTGTCCCAGAATGAAAAAATATGACATTATATATAGTATGAATGATGCCACTATTCCCAGGATGCTAGTGCTACCTGTGTGACAAACAATCACTTTCAATTTTAAACAAGGAGTTGTATCCCTGGAACATCACCTGACTTTCCAGTGGAAAAAAATCACTGTCAATATATATACAGTATTCTTTGTACTACTACGATCTTTCCCATGGTAGAGTACATGTGACACCCTAGTTGTAACTTGGGCAAGAGGAACTTAGTAGGTTGCTTGACCAATTTTCTATGTTACGAATACATGCTCAATATGTACAGAATTATTGAAAAATTTATATATTGACAAAGGGGATATGAAATACATGGTATTCATGCATACCACAAGTATTGAAGATTGGGTTAGATGTGCAATATAACTAGACAAGTTTAACATTTCTAAGTTGATAAAACGTATCTACAGGTTGGCTCATTTTTGTTTTGGAAAAAATAAGGAAATTGAAATTTGGGTTTATGAAATAAATTTTTGGGTATATTTGTTGACAATGAGAAATACTTAAATTAAGTATTGAGTTATTGATGAAAATTATATAGTTATTAATCTGTAATTTTCATATTTTTATATCAATTATAATATCATATATAGGGTGACTTTGGACCTGCAGGATTACCAGGCGGTGATGGGAAGAATGGTGCATCAGGACCACAAGGACCTCCAGGGCTACCTGTGAGTTATTATTTCTTAAAGGAAAATCAGTTTTAAAGATTTAATCAACCTTCATTTGGAACTAAAACTATCCATTTCAGTAATTAAACCCACTTGAAATTTTTATATATCATCTGTAATGTTATCTGACAGTTGCTTAATAAAAACAAGATTGGACTGGATGATCGCATTAATTTTGAACTCATTGAGAAAAAATTGGGAAGTAGAAAGAATGACAAGACTCCTGGACTAGATAATATTTTCCCAAGGGTTTTGAAGAAGGTTTAAGGATGTATGAACCACTTGTTACCATTTTTCTAACTCCTTAAACATTGAGCAGGTACCAAAAGATTGGAAGTTGGCTAATGTTATTCTTCTTTTCAAGGGAGAATCTAAACATTTTCCTGTAGTTAAAAGCTTCTTATTCGTACATAAATGGTGGGGAAAGTTTTTGAAAGTCTGAAAAAGGATGCTTTGCAAAGTTATTTAACAAAATTTAATTATTATTTTTTTATAACATGGTTTCACCAGGGAAACATTTTGCATAATTAATCTTTTTTTACATTTTTGAAGAGGTTATGTAGATGATGGTAAGGTGTGGATTTGGTGTATATGAATTTTCAGAAAGTATTTGACAAGGTGCCACATAAAAGACTTATTAAAAAAATTATTGCTGTAGCTGTTGAAGATAAGTTGGCTCACTGGATAGACAAGTGGTTGGATGGAAAAAAGTAGATGATTGTTATAGATGAAACTCAGTCAAAGTGAATTAATATCACAAGTAGGGTATTGCAGAACTCACTGTTAAGACATTTGCTCTTTTTGATTCACACCAGTGACATATAAGAAGAAATGATCTATAAATTACTAAAATTTCATTGATGATATTAAAATAATGAATATTGTTGATGTGAGGAGAATACTACTGCTTTGCAAAAGGATCTAGATTAGTGCTTTATACTGAGTATCTTCTGGGTTATCCTTGTTGTCATGAAAGCTCTTGCACATTAACCATATAATTATGGTTTAGATCCATTGGGTTCAGCTCGTATGGAGAAGGATACGAGTTCAACAATACATATGGTAACTCTGAAATTTTTTAATGTATCTTCATGAAAATTGGTAAGATTTTATTAAAGATTACAAGTATTTTCTACACAAAGAATGGGATTATTTTATGTATTTTGATTAAAGATTTGTTATTTTTTAGTTATTTGTACTTAGACACTGAATTTTTCAAGTATTATCATCAGTGTATAGTGCGATGAAATGTTTGAAATTAAGAAATAGAAAAAATGTACAAACGTTTTGATTTTTTCTTCAAATAACCTTAAAAGATCTTCTTCTGGTTATATTCTTAATTTCAAGTCTTTACATTTTCACATATAGTTTATTTTCCATTCCTGTCCTTTACCATTATTATTTATTGCGACACACATCAGTGAGCATCCTTAGGCAATATTATGGTATTGTCAACAGAGATACTTTAGTTTTTGACAGAATTTTGTTATACTCATGTACTACATTAAGCCTCATGAACCAAGGCAAAGTTTGGGTTATATTTTTAAAAATATATTAAACCTTTAAAATATGCATTCTAAAACATACAATTAAATAAATAAAAATAATTAAGTAAAATGTAAAACTAAAACCTAATTACAATTTAATTATCTATCTAACTGACATATTTCTAGGTAAGAAACAATGCTAAGGGCTAGTGAGAACAAAAGTAGCAATAATGCTAAGTGCAGTTTGACGAACCTTGTAAGGAATTCTGCATGTCAGTTTTAATCCATTGACTGTGGCTGCTCTAAACATACGTGAAATTTTGGCAAGCCATACAGCACACTCACATTCAACTGCCAGAGGCAGACCATACCTTATATGATGAATCAGCAGTCAATTGGTTAAAATATCCATTGGGAGATTGTAGTTTAAAATTAATTCTTTCTATAGGTTATAAACATCTAGCTCAAGTAAGTAGAGTTGTCTGTAAAATCGAAACTGTATGTGTAGAAAGTGGGCATGGCTTCTGTCAAGAGTTCCCAAGGAATTTATTTCTACTTTCTCTAGACTTGCCCTGGGTTATATTGAAAGAAGGATTTGTAAAGAGAGCAAGTAGCCTTGTTTCTGACTAGACATAGATGTGTAGTGTATGTGAAGGTAGTGTAGTGTATTAAAATTACAAAGACCAGAAGTTAAGGCTTGTACATGCTTGTGCATCACGAAATAACAAAACCAAAGATTACGTGTTTTTTTTAATGTTTCTTTTTTCGATAATATAAAATATTGAATTATAATATACATTATAATACTAATTTCATTGACATACACTGATAGTAAAGTTGCTTAATTGAATTTTGAATGTAACTCAGTAAAACCTCATAACATGTACAGATAGGGTACCCATAACCATATAGTTAAGGTTTTGTTTTTATACAGCCGTGTGCCTTATTTCATCTAGTTAGTTGTGTTGAAGTAAAATTCTAAACATTGGAGCATCTTTTCCACACAAAAATATTGACATAAATCTGAAAAAGTGTTGTTCCCCAGGAACAAAGTTATGGCACATGCATCCTCTTGTACTGAACATCATTTGTAATAGTATTCAGTTTTATGAAGTTAATAATGCATTTTTTATATTTCTTTAGTATAAGCTCTTGAAAATAATCTTGAGGTCAAATACTTAATAATACATAAGTTATTGAATGCTAATTATCTTTTTTTGTTAACATTTTGATAATTGTTCAAACATTATTTAAAGATCTATTTCTATATTGTGTGTGTAATTCTTCGTACACGTGCATGGTTTACCTTATCTGTATTATACAGAACATTTTTAACTAAAACAGTATACATCAACATTTGAAGAGTCATTGTACATGTATAACAGTTCATATAAGTTCATTTATACTATTAAATCTCAATAGGGGCAGCCAGGACCTAAAGGTGACAAAGGCAATGCAGGAATAATGGGTCCACCTGGTTTAATGGGACCACCTGGACTACCAGGTCCACCAGTAAGTATATTTAGATAACTTCTGTTCATTTTTTTGTTTATTATTTTTAAGTAGTATAAGCAGTGTATTCATTATCTGCTTAGTCTCTCATTACTACTGTTGTACTTCAAGTATCAAACGTTTTTAGAATTAAATTTTTTAATAAAAAAAGTTGCTTCTATCACATTCATGAAACTGGAAGGCATCAGCAGTTAAGTCAACTAATATATGCTAGATATACTCTAGGACTAAAAAGTTCATTAAATAAAAAGGGTAGTTAACATTATGTAACAAATCTCCAATTTCCTTGAGGCAGTTTCTGATACAAGTTTTGTTCATAAACTTAAAACATTTTGTGTCTTATCACATAGTGAGAAATTTGTACAGGTGAATATACAGCAGATCCCTAAACCATTCTATAATTTTCAGCAGAGCTTGTCTTTCATATGCAGGTGTGTCCTAGAAACATGACTTGGGTCTTCACTGTTATTTTAGAAGTACTTGTCTATTTTTCATTTTATCTTAATAGATACGGGCATGTTACCCCTGACATAAAAGTAAAAAAATCGTCTACTTATATTTACATTAATGAACAAGTGTTTATTTTGGGATTAACTTTTCTAAACAGACACTGTGAAATGGTTGTGGTTGTGCCCTGTTATTCTAGAATATAGTTCAGGAATCAATGAAAAAAGAACCCACAAATCAATTGAAAAAAAACTTTATTATTTATCATTTTTTTGTCTATGTCACATTATCATTACAGTTAAACTTTAGTAATTGTTTCACAGAAATTACATTCTGATGCAGAAGGATATGGTGCAAGGGTATAAACAACTTTTACTTACAAAGCTCAAAAAGAGTCATTCCTTGCATCATAGGCTCATAAAATTTACCAAAGTTTTATGGAATGGAGAATATCTTTCTGTTTTTGAGATATTTACTAAGACTATTTACTAGTCTTAGATAGAGCTTGAAACCTTCACTTTTCTAGCATTTTATAGTGAGATTATCATAGTTTTCTACTCGCCTGAACTGTTGCAAATCAGAAGAATGTAACTGAACTTTTACATTAATAAGTAGATAGATAAACAATGTTGTCATATTTCAGTGGCTTTTGACTTCCTCTTTTAGGTTCTTCAGACACTCTTGAGTTCCTTCATGATTTGCACAAATTGACATATCGTACCTACTTGTGTAGAATGTTTTTGTAATGTACACAAGGTTATATATATATATTCCTGCTTCCAAAGCTACAATTATATAATATTTGCCACACACCCTATGCAGTATTTTTGTTACATTGTATGCATGTATGATACTCTAGCCTTTTCATTTTTATTAACTTCATGCATGTGTAACAAGGCTTCTTCCATATAACTTATGTTTATCTTTTTTTTAAAAAGTTGATTTTATTACACAATTAACAGTATGTTTGTTCAATTATTATAATATTAACATCAACAAGTGGCATCACATTGGACATTTTTAACTAATAAAAACGAGAAAACCAATCTATAATGGCATTATGTGTGAATCCTTAGATCCACAAGATACATCTATATTTTATGACATTACAGATCCAAAGACAATATAGTGAACTACATTGGATGTACATACATGCACATGTACATAGACAGATTGGTAGTCATATGGTAAAAAAATACACAAAGTATAGCAAAAACATACTTTGTAAATTTTTTTTTCTAAAAGCAGTTAGTGATTTTTAAGGTTTTGTTTTTTATAATTTCAGTTTTTTTCACCTACACATAACAATGAAAAGTATGAATAAATTATTGATATTTTCGATTTACTTCGTTGAAGTGAAAAACGTGTTTGACTGCAAACTGAAATGAATGTTAAAGCTGTGCTCTATTTTCATACACAACATACTTTCAAATACTGCTTTTTATTAATATTTTCAATACTGAAGATTATTCTGAAATCATTTAATCAAGAAAAAATAAAATCTTCACAGAACGGTTGTGAGAAACAGAAGTATAGTGGATTGTAGCTTCTAACTTAACAAAATTAAAGTTTTATGACAAGGAGCCCACTTTTGGAAAATAAAAGTTTGGAACGGTTTGAATTGGTAATTAAGAAAACTATTATAAATGTATAATGTTTCAACAAGACTATGTCGTCATCAGATACCTGATGATGATGTATACTTGTCGAAACATTGTATATATATAAAAAAAAATCATTCCTTCTTTGTTTTCTTTTTTTTAGATACAATAATACTACACTGCATGTTAACGTTTCTAATCACATATTTTTCCAGTTTTTGCTTTTTGCAACAACTATTTACTAGTCTTATTTCTGTACAAAAATATATGATACTATTTTTTCTTTTATTATTAAGACTAATGAGTTGCATTTAGGAAAACTTTAATTACATGCTACACTAATTTCATGCATTTTATTGTTATACTGTTAAGCTTGTGCTGTTTGGCACATTTTTTCTGTTTTTTTATTAGTTACAATCAAAGTATAAAACACTTATACAAGTTTTTTTATTTCCTCTGAGTGGACCAAGTAGGCTTTTCTTAAAATATTAGACTTTTAGAGAAAAATCACCTTTTAATGATTATGGTAGTAATTTATTTACGTGGCAACATTTCGAGCAAACACTGTTTTTCAAGCTACCTTGTTTCTGGCTTGAAAAACAGTGTTTGCTCGAAATGTTGCCAAGTAAATAATACTACCATAATCATTAAAGGTAGTATTTTCTAATAAAGTACTAATTTACTTTATTTTATACTACTTTGTCTATTTTTCTTACTTTAT